CCCCCCCCCCCCCCCAAAACCCGCACCCGCCAGTGCAAGCGTGCATGAACCCCCAGCTTTGAGGTGGAGCTGCTCCGGCGTCGCCGTCGGGTCCCATCCCACCACCCGCTCGTCTTAGCTCTCTGCCTTTTCAGAGACCTTGTGGAGACCAGTGCGCTGCTTTGTGTGTTAAATGTAAATCAAAAAAAAAAAAAAACCAAATCTGGAGAAGATTTTTAAATTGAGGAAGCCAGCACTGGATTCCTCCCTTTAATATAAATTTTATAATATTATATAATATTTTCGTTCACGACTCCAAACCGTTCTGGCTGCCACAAAAGCTGCATCTCTTGGCCGCGTGCAATGCACTCTTCCAAATAAGAAATTCAATTCATTTCAATTAAGAAGCCTTAACGCTGGGGATTTGACGCTAATTTTTTTATTTCCTCCTAATATTACAGCCTTGTCGCTTACCACTTCAGAGGGTGACACGGGGACGTAGCAAGAGCTCTTTGGAAGGGGAGAAGGAGGGGCTTTAGGGTTTGGTGCATTTTGGCATTAGAGGTAGACCCGGTGGTGACTTTGGTTGGGATTTGATGGGTTTAAAGCAAAAATGCAGACTGTATAAAGCCTGCACGTGGCTTGGTATGCCTGCCTTTACCCAAATACCTGGCCAAAATTGGGGTAGAGCCCTAAAGGCAGTCACCTCCTCTCTCTAGCCGAGCCTGAATACGGAGATTTCCCATGCGATTCCTTCGCGGGGCTTGGGTGCAACGTTGAGCAGCGATACCTGTGCCATAACCTGTTTCTGCTCTGCGCAGGATGAGAGACACGAGCAGAAAAAACAACGTTTTTGCCCAGTTTCGGAAAAACGAGAGGGACAAGCAGAAGCTGATAGACACCGTGGCCAAGCAGCTCCGCGGCCTGATCAACAGCCACCACTCGTGAGGGACTCGGGGACCTCCTGCCCGCCGCCGGCCCCTGCACCGCAACCTTCCACACGCCTGGACTTGGGATCCTTGTTCAAAGAGAATATATGTATTTTTTTATTCACCTGTATAGCATTCATGGACCTTACCCCTGCTGACAAAACGTTCCTCGTTAAGCCATCCCGGGGAAGGTAGGCAGCACTGCTCGTGAAGGTGGCGTCAGGAGGCTCCTGTTATAAACTCCTATTTTCAGGGGGTTATAAAGCGACGGTGAATCCTGAAGCCTGAGGGAGAAGTTCACACCCAGACTTTTATTATTATTTTTTTTTTTTTTTTCTTTATAAGCCAAATTGAAAGAATGGGTCTGACTTCCTCTTGTTAACTTATTCAGTTGCAGAACAAATGGGAACGAAACGTATAGGGAGGGGTCGTGGCTCCGGGTTCTTCTCACGGGCTCCGGCAAAAGGGGCACACGTTTCGAACGAGGGTCACCTCTTGTCTTGCCCACTTGCCTGGTGGTTTTAAAGAGGCAAACGGCTTTCCCAACATTCCTCCTCTTTCTCCTGGAAGGGCTGATTTCCACCTCCAGGCTGGAGATCGCTGGAGCTGTGACCCCTTTCCCGCCCGCCTGTAACCAGCGTAGCCCCCCCCGCCAATCTCCACCCCTAGGACCTGCCGGTGTCTTTTGGACCCGCACCGAATGTAGAAGGGCTTTGAGAGCTGCCTCCTTAATTAGATTTGGAAGGGCAAGAGCCAGAGGGTGGTTTGGCAGGGTGTCCTGCCATGCTGCTCTGGCGCCGGGATGCTGCTGCTCGCATCCAGCGCGGTCGGGTACTGGGAGAGCCGGGATGCTCAGCAGGGACGGTGCGAAGGCAGACTGTGCTCTCCCCATGTCCAAGGCACTCCACTCGGGTTTTTTTCCCCTCTCCTTGCATCTCGTTTCCACGCTGATGTCCCATCTTCCCTCTCCTCCCGACACGGCGCAGCAGGCTGAAGTCCTTCTGCTTCCC